CAGAGAGACCGACACCAACTCCAGTACCAGCGGTGTGCCTCCACCGAGGGTCGATGATCGCGATGGCGGTCGTGCTCGGGCTTCCTGGGTGGCCGAGACATGCCCACCAACACCAAGATCTAGCTTCATCCTGCCCCGCTGGGGGCATGCTCCCCCTGCCTTGGTGCAAGCCTCCAGAATCAAGACACTGTTCTGTTCGCTGCCCTCGGCCTCCGGGGGCCCTCGCTCGGCCCCGGGGCCATCGAACATGTGTCGGGGTGCAACGCCAGCCCTGGGGAGAGAGAGGGTCGAGATTTCCGCGGGGGCCGTGCTGAAACATTCCAGCGGGTGTCTGGAGCCCTCCCGTCCCACCCATCCCTTCCCACCGCGCCCACATTCCTGCATCTGCTGACGGGTGTCGTTCGGGGACTACGAAGTGTATGGTTTCGCTGGGGTGTGGTTCGCGATCGGCACCGTCGGGGCTTGGGGAGCGCGGCGCTGTCCTCGTCGGGCCTCCTCGGGGCGCGGCGGAGAGCTCAGTCGAGGTCCTCGCCCACCCCACACGGTGCCCCCAGGGTGCCACTTTCAAACCACATCCTTTGCAAGATACACCCCTCGGAGCCGCCGAGCCACAGCGGACCTGGACCCCCCTATATGACTCCACCGTGCTTTGCGCAAGTACACAAGAGAGCCGTGTACATCAGAGGGGATGGAGGAGGAGGTGGTAGATGAACAGCACGATGAGCAGGAGGCAGAGGAGGAGGATGCGGGCGGGAGGAGCGGCTGCCAGCGGGAATTGCTGGAGAGGTTGTCGAGAGAAAGTATCAGCAGCAGCAGCGTCGACGTCAAAGCTTAGCGTGCTGCTCAATTGCTTGTTTTCAGGGGTAATAGTAGGGGGGGTAAGCTCAGGGGGGGCGCATCGAACCCCAATCACCCATTCCCCATTCATCACCGATGAGATCCCGATAGCCACCCCGTCTAGGACGGTGAGGTTTCGCTATCGGGGGCCTACCGCCAATCCATCGGCGATGTATCGCCGATCCCAGCTCGATGCTTCTCCCGTTGGGCCGTTCCCCGCGGAGGGTTCCCCGCTCACTCCTGCGCAATCGCTGTCTGTACCCCTTCAGCAGTGCCACGCTGGTGGGGTCGTCCGCCCAGCGCGGCAACCGAACTCCCTGTCACCCCGGAGACGAGGCCGCTTTCGGCTTCGGCCCGTTTCGGCTCCATCATCGGTCTGCTTCGGCTTCGGCCCGTTTCGGCTTCGGCCCGTTTGGGCTTCGGTTAAGTCGGGCTTGTTCCCCTACAGGGGGATTTTCGACGAAAAATAAGTTATCCCAGTGCGACCCTACCTAGGAGTTGGAGCCCCTAGGAAAGCAGCATTAGTAGTAACAGTAAAGCTAAGCTAAAGATAAGCTAAAGCTAAGCTAAAGCTAAGCTGAAGCTAAGCTAAAGCTAAGCTAAGGCTAAGCTAAAGCTAAGCTAAAACTAAGCCAAAGCTAAGCTGAAACTAAGCTAAAGCTAAGCTAAATCTAAGCTAAAACTAAGGCTAAAGCTAAGCTAAAGCTAAGCTAAGTATAAGCTGAAGCTAAGCGAAAGCTAAGCTAAAGCTAAGCTAATGCTAAGCTAAAGTTAAGCTGAAGCTATGCCAAAGCTAAGCTAAAGCTAAGCTAAAGCTAAGCTAAAGCTAAGCTAAAGCTAGGCTGAAGCTAAGCTAAAGCTAAGCTAAAGCTAAGATAACATTAAGCTACAGCTAAGCAACACTAAGCTGAAGCTAAGCTAAATTTAAGCTAAAGCTAAGCTGAAGCTAAGCTAAAGCTAAGCTAAAGTCAAGTTACAGCTAAGCTAAAGCTAAACTAACACTAAGCTAAAGCTAAGCTAACACTAAGCTGAAGCTAAGCTAAAGCTAAGCTGAAGCTAAGCTAACACTAAGCTGAAGCTAAGCTAAAGCTAAGCTAAAGCTAAGCTAACACTAAGCTAACGCTAAGCTAAAGCTACGCTAAAGCTAAGCTAAAGCTAAAGCTAAAGTTAAAGCTAAAGCTAAGCTAAAGCTAAAGCTAAAGCTCCCAGGGGACTGGGGGGGAACCGCGGGGCTGGGACTGGGGGAACCGCCCGGGGCGCTTTCCACTGCGCGGCCCCTTTAAGCTAGAGAGTAAGAACCCTTCTAGGCAGAGCCTAGGTAGGGAAAAATACCCCAAAAATAATCAAGACATCATACAAATAGTCTGGGGACCATTTTTGGATTATTGTTTGGCCTTTCTAGGGCATTTCGGGGGTATTTTTTATTTTGCGTCGAAAACCCCTCTGTAGGGGGACACGCCCGACATAAGGCTTCGGCCCGTCACTCGTCCTGGCCACAGGCGGCTCCCGCACGAGCAGCAACGGACCGAGCCGAAAGCGCGCAGCGACCGCGCCTCGGCCCGTCGCCCCCGCCCGGCCCGCGCTCGCCCCGCGGGGGGCGGCCGCGCGCCCAGGCGGACGGGCGGGGCGACGCGGAGCAGGCTATGGGCTCGGAGCTGCGCCGGAGCGCCCCGCCACGGGGGGGGGCATAGTCCTCGGTGGATCGGAGGTGGGGTCCTGAGGGATGGGGTCCTAAGGAGTTGAATTAGGTCGGGCCTGTCCCCCTACAGGGGGATTTTCGACGAAAAATGAGAAATACACAAAAAAATCAAAAAAATAGTATGGGGACTAATTTCTGCGTATTTTTTTGACCTGTTTGGGGTATCTTCGGGGTATTCTTTATTTTTCGTCGACAATCCCCCTGGGTTTTCCACCTCGTCCTCAGGACACCATCTCCCTGGGACCCCATCCTTGAACCACCCACATGGGCCCTAGGCCTCTCAGACGGGGTCGGAGTTTAGGTGGGGTCGGAGGATCGCGCGCGCCACATCGCCGGTGCATCGCCGATGCGGCTCGATGTGGAGCCCGGTTTGCTTCACGTCGACGTCGCCGATGCATCGCCGACGTCGACGATGCATCGGCGGTGCATCGCTGATGCATCGCCGACGCATCGGCGGTGCGGCGCGATCCTCCGACCCCACCTGCTCCGACCCCATCGAGGAGGCCTCTATGGGCAGCGTCAGGGGAGGAGTTCGGCAGGGAAGCAGAGGACGCTGCACCTCTCGGGCGTGTGCGTTTTTTCTCGGCGGTGGCCATCGGGGAGCATATCCTGGGTCCTCTTGCAGAAGAAATAAGCGCACGGAGTCAAACAACGTACGGGGAATGGACACCCGAGCGATGGCGGGAGCATCAATAATCGCGAAGACCTCACGGCCAGTGCCGCCGACCTTGAAGGAGGAGGAGGCGGAGGACGACAACGACGACGACGACGACGACGACGACGACGACGACTACGACGACGACGACGGCTACGACAACATCGACGCTGACGCTCTGGAGCCGAAAGCTTCTCCCAGGGAAGGGTGGTGCTACCCCCAGGGGGGGGCTCCAGGGAGGAGGCAGAGGCAGTGTCCGGGGAGAAGCTCGGCATGGAAACGGAGGATCCGTCATCTTGCCTCGAGCGATCCCCACCCCGGGAACGCGAGGCGGCATCCCCAGGGAACACCGGGTCCCTTGGGGCCTGGCGGCCGCGGCGTGAGGTTGTCATTCGTCGAAGACGCGACGCAGGGATTCCCAGGGAGCACCGGGACGCTACAGGGGCCTGGCAGCCGCCTGCAGGGTGCACGGTGGGTCGGGAACTCTTCTCTAGATCTATTCGTTTTGCCTCGATGGGGTCCCCACGATCCCCAGGGAGCACGGGCACGCTGGGCCCAGCGGCCGCGGTACCGTCGAATGCGCGAGGCGGGATGCCCGGAGCAGCAGCACACTTTGGGGCCTGGCGGCCGCGGAGTGCAGGGCGTGCGAGGTGGAGCGGGGGAGTTCCCCACAACAGACATCAGGCATCCAGCACCCCCAACCTGTCGGTCGGGGAGCAGCCCCAGCTAGACGGGCGGGGGAAGGGTGCGCAGTCGTCGGGCGCCCGTCAGCGTGTGACTCCGCCCTTGTCCGACCCCCGAAGACCTGGTGTTCCTTGGACAGCAGAACGCGCGGTTGGGTTCCCTACGGCGGAGCGTCATTCCCCACCCGACAGGTCGGAGTAGTCTTAAGTCGGGCCTGTCCCCCTACAGGGGGATTTTCGACGAACAATAAAAGATACCCCAACAATATTCCAAAAATACTCCAAAAATAGTATGGGGACTATTTGTTCTGTATTTTGTTCCCTTTGGGGTGTATTTTCTGGGCATTTTTTATTTTTCGTCGACCATCCCCCTGTAGGGGGACACGCCCGACATAAGAGTAGTCAGATGTTCACAATAGACCTCCCAGCCCGACCGCCATGCATACCGCGGCCGCCAGACCCCCAGGTCCAGGGAGAATTCCAGGAGAGTGCCGCCGCGCGCCAACCCGCCCATGCTGCATACCGCGGCCGCCAGATCCCGTTTCTCACCGAGGATCCCCCGAGAGTCCTTCCTCGCTCCTTCGGCGAAAACAACAGAACCTTACACACCCGAGCACAACACCACACATGATAACATAAAAGAACATGTCATAACAGAGTGGCGCATATCATTACATAAGAGAACAGCTCATTACAGAACACAGTATCACAGCATATCGTCCCGAAGCATTGCAGTTCATTGCAGCACATATCATGACAGAGCGCGGCATAACATGTAATTGAACAACAGGCCATAGCATACCATCATACCGTAACTGGGCCGAGTCTAGCATACTCTGACATAGCATACCGCAAGCTGGACTTGTATAACAGCACCTACAATGGCAGAGCGGGGTATACATACTATAGCATTAAGTCAGACACTATAACAGGGCATAGCATGACATAACCGATGTTCACTCATCACGAAATGGTAAACTATGGCAACATAGCATACCATACCATAACACGGCACCGCATACCATATCATAACATTGCATCACATACCAGAATAAATCATGCCATGACATATCCTACCATGGTTGAGCGCAGCATCTCGCGTTCGGACACGAACCCAGCAACACATATCCTAATATCCAGAAGACGTGGCACTACATGACAACGTATGGCAGAACTTGCATACGCAACGCGGCATACCAACACATGCAATGACGGAGCAAATCATACATAACAAAGCATGACACCGCGCATAAAACCATGCCACATCCTAGCATAGCGTAGCATAACATTCTATACCACAACAGACCAACACATGACACAACAACGCAACACAGAGCGTTCTAGACCAAGACAAATCATGTCATTGCCGACTTCGGTACAACACACTCTGGCATTGCAGACATTACCCTAGCAAAAGAGAGCATGTACGAGCATGCCATGACGGAACAGAGCATGTCATAACGCAGTAAAGAACATTATGTGACATTACACCACACACTGCGACAAAGGAACATCGGATAATAATTCATAGCACAGCGTGACGGACCATACCAGGAGTGCAGTAGTAGCGTTAGCGCGACCGCAACGAACACACTGGTAGAAATGCGTGGCAGGGGAATACCATAACATATCACAGCACAGCGTAATACATGAACAGAGCACAGCGTATCCAGTATAACAGGTCACAATGGCTCTACGACTGCATTGACTATACTCTGGGTTTCTTAATAAGCGTGGAGGGGTACCCCCCCGACGGGGGTAAGCCTCGCATCGTCGTCGCGCCGCGACGGGGGTTTGAGCGCCTTCGGCGCGCGGTGACTACCCGCGACGGGGGTCGATGCGGGGCTGGGGCTTATGAAGAAACTCGGAGTACTTAGCCAGAAAGGGTCTCCCACGTTCGAGTTCAAACGCTGTGCCCTGAGCGATTGAGCTCGGTCGCCGGTAAGGGGTCATCCCCGACCGTTTCTCTCGAGGCAGAGGCCCCCACGCAATCTCGCGCCCAAGGGCGCTCCGCTTCTGTCCACATCATCTCGCCCCACATTGTCGCGACACCTTTGCACTGTCTCCCGCTGAGCCATTATGGGCCGCGATGGAGTTCGCCCGAGGTTCAGCGATGGCCGCGCGGCTGACGACTCGCGTCACAGCGGGAGGCACCGCCGGCACACTTCATCGACGCGCTCTCCCCGCCGCCCCCATTCGAGGCCGCCTGGCCATCGAGGGGGCCGATCGTCGCCGCCTACTCGGACAGCGCGCGACCGCAGCTCGATTGGTTCTAAGATTGACAAACCACCAGCTTGTGCCACCCAGTCTTTTGGCATGACTACGACCAGGGATGCCTGCAAGGCATCGGCAGACCTTTGCGCGCCTCTCGCTGAACCGATGACGATCCACAGCCGCGGGCACAACTCTCGCCGCCAGGACATGCAATGCTCGGCGACGTCCTCCCCAGGCGCCATGAACCTCAGGATGGGGGAAATGGGGACAGGGTTCGTCTCCTAGAGCAGCCTCTTCCCGATCGGAGGCGATGATGCGATGGGCACTCCAAACCCCGCGTCAGAGAAGAAGTTCGAAGAGATCGGGGGCGCGCTGTAGGACGCGCTCGACCGTCACCGGCTGACTGACAACGAGCTCGCCGACAGCCTCTCACCACCTACACAGCCGAGTACGTCGCGCGGAGACCACGTCCCGAAACCGCATCATAATGCTGGAGCCACGCCCTCAAGCTCACGCTGACGGGATTCCCGTATCGGATGCTGGTCAACGACGTGCGTGCGATTGGTCACGCGTGCTCGGCTGCCCTCGCGCCGTCTGCGGAGGCCGCCGAGATCGCCGTCCGCGTCTTCGACATGGACTAAGAAGGACATGACTTACTTGGAGACCGCGCTCGGCGCCCCCCCCCGGCCCCCCGGGGCAGCTTCCATCGCGCCGGCGGCCCATGGCCCGTTTTTGATTCGCTTCGCCCCTCGGCCCAGTTTTCGCTGAGGCCCCGCCGAGACGCGGGCCCCCACGGTCGCCGCTTGTTTTATTCGTTGGGGCGGATGCGTAGCCACCTCGCGGGCTTTTTAAACAGGGGGGTTCGAGGTCAGGTGCTCTAGGTTTGGCGGTCTCGCGAGCGCCCCCCGCGGCTCGCGCGACCCCGCGCCGCTCGCCAGCATCTGGGCATGCGATGCGGGGCGCGTTTCGACCGAGATGTCGCGCGTCGCCCCTCTAGGATTTGCGCCGCGCAGCGCGCTTCCGCGCGCGAGGCAGCGCCGAGCCTGACCGACGCGCGCTCGCAGGCAGCCCCCCCCCCCCCCCCCTGCGACGCGGATAATGATGGCGCTGTTTCGGTCCCGAGTGCAACGCGCTCTGGGAGGGCGCGCGACCGCATTCACGCCCTCCGCCTTTTTATCTGCGCGTGGTATTACGAGGCCCTCACAGCTTCGGCCCGCCGACGCTTTCGAGGCCCCCCTCGGTTGTCCGCGAGCAGTGGGGCGAGATCTGCACCCCCCATGCAGGTTCGCACTGGCCCTGCGGGATGCTGACTTGCAACTGCCTGAGGGTGCCTGGCATGAGCCCATCACAGGCGACCATCGAATACCTGGTCCTGCTGGCGCTCCCCGCGACGTTTTGAAACTTGGAAACGC